AATTAATGATTTGATCAATAATTATTATCCTTTGCTTGATCAACCTATCAGATGAGTCACTCATTAGCTGAAGTATTACAAGTGAAAATGGTAGTTCGTTGTCTTCAAGTGATCAGTTCAGCCCACAAGTTACACACTGGGCCACTTTGTTTATGAGGCTCTTGAAATAGGATGTGCACGTACTTAATATATACACTACATACCTCATGCATTTTTTTAAGTGCCTCATTTCCTTGCTTTAGTCCATCTGCCACTTGAATTTGAACTTGAGCAAACTCAACATCTTGGACCTGTGGTGATAATGTTTAAACACGCTTATAAGTAAGAAATTCAGTACTCAGTTACATGGAGAGTTATCGATAAGGCCAAAACAAGTCTAGCAAAGAAATCAAATATATCTTTGAAAACAGGTTTATAATCACTTTTTACATTGAATGACATTGGTTTATTCACATTCTTGTTAGACTTCAAGGCTCGGAAAAAAAAAACTTCAATTCCAGCTTGCCCTTTGGACGAGCAATTATAATTTTACTTGCTTTGCTTGCTTTTCCTTGGATAGGAGGCCATAGCAGCCAATCCTTTTGGTCTGTCTTTTATAATGAGTTTATCGAGGGAGATATAAGCAACCTTTCCTTGCGCTTTGACACTTATAAAATTAATGTTTGTGAGAGTTCAAATTAAAATTGAATTGAATTGCCCTGGGCAAGTCTTAGTTTTTTTTTATTCAACTGGTAGATGACTTGTCTGACCCCTTGCCCATTGGGCAAGTGAGAATGGAAAGTTACTGTCCTAGCAGGAAAATCAACTTGTCCCCGATGACCCAATGGCACTTTTCTCAAGCCCTGCATTTTATATGGCAATTCCGTGCTTGTGCAGTGTTATGCACTAACGGTAACAAAGAAAGTAAAAAAACTTTTTTGGGCCTAGTGGATAAGAGACTGGCACTTTGAAAGAAGTCCTGTTTCAGTAGCATAAAGTAGCTATTACTAACTATTTCTACTTTCCCAGGAGGAGATGCCTGTCTGTTGAAAGTTCCCTCTTCCCACAGCTACATTCCCCTAACAATTTATGATTGTTACTATCACCCAACGAGATTCATCTTTTGAAAGAAAGTGTCTTACAAATAACACAATAATCATTGCAAAGGTTGAACCAAGACTTCTACACCACTACACCACAACTACCTCACTTACTGTATTTACTCGAATAAGCGCTGCGCATGAATATTTTTCATGGCTTACAGGCTTGAAGTTAACCTAAGTTTTGGCTTTCGTAACAGCCTTGTGAATACTTTTCTGCAGGTTTTCAACAATGCTTCACTCAATGTCAATGTCCTGACTGTTGCTGAAAGTGCACAAGATTTAACACAGGATGCACTTACAGAATGCAATTACGGGATGCGACTACAGTGTATTTTTATCATCTTCACCGCACCTGCAGCACTTATTCGAGGGCGGCGCTTTTCCACCCCATGTGCAGCACTTAATTGAGGGCGGCACTTAATTGAGGGCAGCCCTTATTCGGGGACGGCACTTATTCGAGTAAATACGGTAATGTATTGTACAAAACAAAACAATATATTAACAAACCATTTTTTCTAAGTTGTCCAACTGGTTGTCTGTCCTTTCAAGGGTCTGCTCCTGGTATCTTTTCTTTTTAAGGAGTAACTTTGCTTTACTGGATAATTTTAATTAAACAAACAACACTGAATATATCTTTCTAAGGCAACGTTTTCATGAATGAAGAGGCCATTGTGGCTTACTGCACTAGCACTTAATTTTATTAACTTATTTGAGAGTTAAGCAACTTTATTATATGGTTTGTGTTTGTAGCCAATATAACATGCACTCTGATTGGCTAATTTTAGGGCTGTGACTAAAAGTGGGATGGGGACTTGGGGACTGGGACATGGGACATGGGACGCGGGACTCGGGGATGCGGGGACGCAAGGACATGGGAACTTGGGACCTGGGGACACGGGGATGTGGGGACTTGGGGATGTGGGGACTCGGGGACGTGGGGACGTGGGGACGTGGGACACAAGCACGCGCAGGGACTTGAGGACGTGGGACGTAGGGACTGGAGGACATGATAAACAAACATCACCTGATTTTTGCGCTGAATTTGTAAAATACAATTTTCGGCGGTCAAGTGAAAAGTATAGTTGGAATCTGTTTATAGGTGTCTGTTTATGGCAGGTGCTGGGAGAAAGTAGACACGATTGAACTAAGAATAATCAATTAAAACATATTTTAAAAAATGTAGGTTTAAACTCTAGATCCAGCCACTGACCTTTAAGTCATTATAAATACCCTCCACCACACAACATAATTTATGTATAAAAATGTACCTTTTCAGTGTGCAAGGAAAGTCATGTATGATTGCATGGTGCTGGTGACTTTTAAAATAGGCTTTCCTTCACTTACCAGACAGGCAAAGTGAAGTTTCTTGGGATTTTTTTTTAAAGAGATTTGAATATTTACAAAGTACTGTAAAGGAAGCGCGGTAGCCTCATGGCAAGTGCGCTCACCTCCTGATCGAGCATTCCAGGTTTGAGCCCTGGCCAGGGACATTGCGTAGTGTTCTTGGGCAAAACACTTCACTCTCACAGTGCCTCTCTCCACCCAGCTGTATAAATGGGTACCGGTGAACTTAATGCTGGGGGTAACCCTGCAATGGACTAGTATCCCATCTAGGGAGGAGTAGAAATACTCCTAGTTACTTCATGCTACAGAAACTGGGATAAGCGCCGGCCTGATCGGCCACTTTGCTTGTATGCAGACTTCTTTTTTTTTACTGTAAAAGAAGGGGGGAGGGGAGGGGGGATGCGCTAGTGAGAATGACTTTTGAGCAAGCAGTTACAGCTTTCCCAAGGGGTAACTAGTTCCAAAATCAGTTTGCTTTGCAGCCTGTGTTTTATTTAGCACCTTTTTCTGGTATTGCTTCAGCTTGTCCCTCTGCTGTTTCAATGCCTGAAAAATCACATAGTATTAAATGATTATTTTTAATATGCAGCCATAAGTAAATACTTTTGATTTGATGTACATTAATTGTACTGTCTGGTTTCTGGTGGGTAAGTTGCTCTGAAATATAGTACTTAAACTTGTAGGTATATAGTAGAATAGTTTCGAACTTCATCATCATTAATTTATTCTTTACTGTTAGAATGTTTGTCAGAGTGCTTTTTTACCAACCTGGTTGCAGTTGACCTGCAAGACTTGGTAATTTCAACGAGAGTAGCAAGAGGGAAGGAGCAGGGGGAGGGGTCTCATATGAACCTCATATGAACCCTTTGCCATGAACCCTTTGCCATGCACCCTTTTCAAAGAATGAACCCTGTTTTACAACTTACTTTATTTTGGACGTCTATCTATCTATTCATATTTATCTAGCCTGCTGAGTACCCTGCATGGCATTTAATTGTTGATGGTTTCAGCAAAAGAAGGAAGCTAAAATGTTATGAGATTAGCCTTAGTTAAAAGTATTCCTACCAGAATTGCTTTATCCTGTTCAGTGATCTTTGGTTTTTCAGGTTCTTTCTTTTTGCTAAATAAAGACCCCATATTTCTCAAATGAAGATAAGGACAGCTAGTTAGTGAAGGCTATAACGTTGGTGCGTTTGCGACAACAGAACTAGGACATTTCTTTCGTTCCTACACAGGAAGTAAAACTGCCGCCATCTTATTTTGTTGCAACCAGATGAAA